GCACGGACGTGGCCCGGCGGCGGCGGCGGCAGGGGAGCGCACGCATCCCCGCCCCGGGATGATGTGGCCGCGGGGCCCCGGGCGCCAGGCGCACAAGCGGCGGCACGGTCCAGCTTTCCAGACTGAGCCTGGAAAGGATGACTGGCTGCTCGCAGACGGCTCGCCGGGAACCGGCGGGACGCAGAGGAGCAGGTCTGGGATACCGCGCTTGGCCAGGCATGCGCCCCTGCCAGATCCCAAGTCCCCAGACCCGTACCCTCGCGCCTAAGGAAAGAGTTTGAGCTTGCTGACGGGGACCAGGCACCTGGGCATGGCACTTTTGATGGGTTGCTCTGAAGGTGACGTTGATAGATTGGCTAACTTTTTTTCCTTTCTGTTGTCTGGACCCAGGAAGTAATGATATTTTTCCAAGCTTTACTGAGCACCTGGGTTGACTGGTTAGAAATGCACATGGCAGCCAGGCTCTGTGGCCCATTCGTGTCATTCCAACATCACTGCAAGTGTGAAGCTAGCAGGGGTTACAGTGCATTCTAGGTCGGCCTGAGCTGCAGAATAAGGCTCTGTCTCAAAAAAATAAGACCAGGAAAGGGGAAGGAAGGGCTGGGGCGGGGGGCGGTGCGAATAATGCAGGTTCCCAGGAGTTTCCCTGCCTTCAGACCCGAGCCACTACTTGTCCAGAAGCCAACTGGGCAAACGGCACTAAAGGAGCTGAAAGCCCTAACTTCTCATCCTAGGGCCAGCTTATGCCGGCTCTTCCATGGGACAGCTTGGCAGTTGTTCCTCACCGGGTTAAGTTGCCTTCTTGAGAGCCACGTGAGAAGCTGCAGAGGCACGGGACCACGGGACAGACGCTGCTGAGCATTTGTAGAAGATGGGCAGTCTGGGGCCAGTGGGATTCCCAACCCTGCCGACTCCTTAGAACTGCCAGGGTTAAAGAGAATGTCAGCCCCGTCGAGGCTGATGAACCCTGAATCCTTCACCTTGGACCTGGCAGTTCTCAAAGCCATAGATGATTGTACTGCAGCCAGGGCCCAGACCAGCCACAGAGATTTTGTTCTGGTCCCGCAACCTCTGGCAGTTCCTAAACAGGTCCCCAGTCTAAGAGCTCACCCACATTTGAGAATTGCTCACCATCTCTTTGGAAAGTAGTTAGGTTTTCCACTTGCTCCCTCACTGGCCAGATTTACAGTGTTCCTGAACTTCCTATATGGTTCAGGACTTGAAAACAAAAGTGAGATGCACGGGCTCAGGAAGCGTCTTCAGGAGCCGGACCCGCCAGCACTCAAGGAGGGAAAAAGACCTGGGCTCATGAGATGCCACTAGCCAGCCTGGCATGGTCTTGTGTTCATTCATTCGTTCAATCAGAATGAGCAATGTTGCATCTGGGCCTTTTAAAATCAAACTAGAGAAATGCCTCTTGCCTTCAAATACTTTTCTCAGAGTATAATCCAGTAACTCATCACGATTGGACGGTGTAAGCTGGTTAACCCAATCAACCACTACTTTTCTTAGCTACATTATTTAATACATATGCCACATGATCTTCATATGACCTGTGCAAAAGGGGGGTGGGGTGGGGTGACACCATATCACTAATGTCCAGATGGACAGACTGCAGCCCAGCAGAGGCGCCAAGTGGCTTTCCCAAAACCACACAGTGAAGTGGGTTGGAACCCAGCCTCAGACCTGTTTGAGGTACAGCCTGTGTCTGATCTTTTGGCTTCCTCTTTGGAAGTGTTGAGCACTGAGGACCTGGTGCAGAGCCTTCCCACATACCTGCTCCCTGGGATTCTGGCTAAGGATCTCTATCCCTTGATCTTTGTGTTGGGGGTTCTGCTGAGAAAATTCCAAGAAGGAGGAGGCTGCTTTGGGAGGGGCACAGCTGCTGGCCGCACCACCAACTGCAGAATGGTTTACTCGTACAGGACTGCATGCGTGCTGGGCTTCACGCATTTTCCTAATTCAGTTTTTTGTTTGGTTGGTTGGTTTGTTGTTGTTTTGTTTTTTTCCTCTTTAACACATAGGTCTTGCTCTTTACTGTTAAAAAGAAAAAATTCTTTTAAACCTAAAAGTTGCAAAGCTGTCTCCAAAAGGCTAACTGTGCCCCAGGACTGCCTATGGTGTTTGACAGAATGGAACCAAACCCACTGCAGAAAACGAAAGAAAATCCTAGCCACAAGTCTCGGCTTCCTAACCGTCTGATTCACCGTGGCTGGGAAGCCTGGGCCTGGCTGACACTCCATCTGTAAAGACTTCATGTACATCAACCACAGCCAGCAAGGCAGAGAGCAAAGCTGGCGGCTGGCAGATGGTCTGCTTTGGGATAGGAATTCTGCCTCCTCCTTCACAGGAAATGGGAGCCGACATGGCATTCAATACTGGATTGTTAGGTAATGGTGTGGGGTCAGGGGCCAGGATCTGCTCATTAAAATTTCAGATAGATGGCTTCTTGTCCCTTCCTTTCTAGAAGAATTGACCTTTGCAATACTGTTTCCTGTGTGCTATTTTGGTCTAACAGCCTGGGCATTCACAATGAACAGGGGGCACTTATTTCTTACCCAAGCTCACATTTAGCTCAATCCCCATTGAGTGCAAGCCGAGGAAATTTTCCTAGGCCAGGATTTTACAGGCAGCAACTCCCAACATGGGCACCTCACCCTATTGAAGGAACTTGAGTCTCAGCTCAGAACAGCTTTTATCTCTCCCAGCACAGTTCCCAAGACTTGCAGCAAAAGTAAACTAACACAGTCACCTCACAATTGAGATTCTTGGAAATCTTTTCAATTCCATCTCTTTGGGAGATTGAAATCCCTGTGTCTCTCAGCCTGTGATAACACACTCATCCGTTTTCCTAGTTTTCCTAGATTTTATTCTTTCTAGAATCGAGACCTTCATGCCCACAGAATGCTGCTCCCAGAGAGCCTCTTCCAGGCAGATTCAACCCTCTAGGGTCCATCACCACCCAGAATCAATACTGAAGTAGAAATGCTGGGGGAAGGGCACTCATGGATTCCCTGAGTCATAGGGGACTGGAGGAAGATCCAGTCCAGATCCATATGCATCTGTATCGCCTGCCAGTTGGACTTCTCACCTAGTGCCAGCTCAAACATGATGTGTGATGACTTTTGGTACCTAGGAGGGACATCAGATGTGAGACAACCTTGCAGCTCACACTCCGGGAAGGATGTTCCCAAAAGACAATCTCATAAGAATGATCAAACAAAATGAGATGACTCAGCAGGTAAAGTACTTGCCACCATGCCTGAGGACTCGAGTTCAAGACCCAGGACCTACAGAGTGGAAGAAGAGAATCACCTCCAGTGAGCTATCCTCTGACCTCCACACATTTGCGCCGCGTGCATGGTGCACAATAATGTACACAATAAATGTAATAAATTTTTTGGGGGGGGGGACTGGCGAGATGGCTCAGCAGTTAAGAGTACTGACTGTTCTTGTAGAGGACCTGGGTTCTGTTCCCAGCACATACATGGCAGCTAACAACCATCCCTAACTCCAGTCCCAAAGGATCCTATGCCCTGTTCTGAGCTCTGTGGCACCACATGACACAGGTATACTTAAATCCATGCAGACAAAATACTCATACCCATATTTTTTTGAAAAGAATGATCCAACATTGGATGACATGCTTTCTTTTGGGACGTGGAGCTGATACCCTTTTCATTTCCAGTGTGGCCTGAACTTGGTAATACAGCACCACAGTCATGGTGTGTGAGGTCTGAGTCCTTCTAGACTCAGCTCGCTTAGCCTAAGGGAATCCAGAGGCATCTTATGAGGGTACACTATGGACTGAGGTCTGGGACCGAGGTCTCCTACCAAGTGTGGTATGCGTGAACCATTCAAGAAGTAGATTTTCCAGCCTCTGCCCAGGTTTCAGATGACAGCAGCTCTGGACAGTATCTAACTGCAACCTCAGGAACGATCCCAATGCGGATCTTCAGATAAACTGCCTCCAAATTCCTGATGGACAGAACTTCCAGGAGATAACGACCATTGTGTTGAGTCACTGGACATCTGCAGGAAGGGAGACATAGTCTGCTATGTTACCGTAATTAATGCACATTTAATGAAACAAACATGTCTGGTTTTGTTTCTAGCCTCTAGACTTCGGATCACATCTCTGCTTAAGGGCATCTGCCTTGTTCTTGAGCATAGAAAATGAGTTCTAGACAGGGTAACCATGGGGCCCAGTTCAGTCACACTGTATCAACAGTACCTCCTTCCCATGGTCAAACACGGTGGTTTGCCAACAAATAGCACATTTGTAGACTGATCTGTCTTCATTTGGGGACAGCAGGAGGAGGCTGGCATACATGCTAGGTTCATGTCTTGACTTGGTTTTTTCTGTGATAGGGTGGGGTAGTTGCTAGGTGGCTGATTCTCAGAGATGGATGTTAAACCTAGGCCTGAGGTCTCCCAAGGTTCTGTGAGTGCTATCACTGCAGAGGACTGGCTTGCTGTGTGTGACAGGG